GGAAGAATTGCACAGTAGTAAGACCACACTCCGGGTTGCGATTTCCCTCTCCACATTGTGGTGGATGGAACGTGGCCACCTTCTCCAGCGAAGCCATTTCAGCCCATGAGAAGGACAAGCCCACCTCTGCCAGGGCTGTCTTCTGCTGTCACACAGGTGACCCGCTGCTCACAGGGGCTGGGCAGGGCCTCCTGCCACTCTCAGGGACCCCCGTCATGTAAACTTACACCTGCAAGAGGCATATGCCAGCCCCTCAGGAGTGCCACCTCCTCGCCTGTCATCACCGCTCACCAGGTGTCACTGCATAGGAAGCCTCCCCCTCCCCCCTCCTTGACGCCTGTGCCAACAGCACCTCTCTGTAGCTGTCTTCCTCTAAAGATACAAGCTTCTTGAAAGAATCTGTTTTTTCCTTTCAATGCAGTAATTTTTTTCACACACTTAAAAGGTTACAGAAACTGGTAGCTTCCTTGCAAAATTTTAAAAATCTAGTTTCATGAACACAGTTCATTAATATTATAATTACTATATTATAATTGGCTGTTTCTATTTGTTGAGTTTTAGATACTAAATTTAAAAGTAGACTATGATATGAAAACACTCAAGGTCTTTCATAAATCTCATGCCAGTAATAAGTGAAATAAAAGCAGAAAGTGCCCTCCCCCTCCCCCCGCAAGAAAAACTATGTAGAATTTACAGGGAATGTTGCCTTTCTTGATGCTCTATGGAAACATTAATCTGGCGCTGCTCACACTGTCGTCTAGGATGATCATCGTCACCTGAACCAGTTCATAGCTCACGCTGCCCTCGACCTGGTAGATGAGAACATGTGGCTGTCCAACAACATGTACTTGAAAACTGTGGACAAGTTCAATGAGTGGTTTGTTTCAGCATTTGTTACTGCAGGTCATATCCTTCCCTTTTCAATAAAGATAGCTAACGAAAGGCGGGGGGAACAAACTAGACCATGGGACACAGATGCCAGGCTGAGTCTGTGAACTTCAAAGTGTCAGGTAAAAACTGCCATTTACGGGGCTACATTTTTCTTTTTAGGGAAAAAAAATATATATTTTGTTTAACATTATTTTAAAACCAAATCTCATATATAAAACTAAGGTTTATCTTAACCCTATCAAGGGTGGCTTATCCTATAGTTATTTTTAACTTTCAAAGATTATGTTCTAAGATAAAACTAACCTAACTTTGAACCCAGTCTGTGTTCAACTTTTCCATCGCAGAATACACTGCATGTCACTTATCTGAAGAATATTGTACCAACTGATTGCTTTTCGTTTTTCATTTCTGAGATTATACCTTAATTATTTCACATATGAGATTTATTATGCTTCATGACATAAGGCAAGAAGATGGAATAAAGAACTTCTTTACTGATGTCTATGATTTATACATAAAGGTATGGTATGTTCTATAACTTTTTAAATCTGCTTATCAAGAGGGTTTCAAATTTTGTCAGGGAACTGGCCTGTTGTAGTGAGGCCTTTATAGTACAGTTTTCATCCCAGAATGGCCCTTCCTTGGTCAAAACCATCCCTGAAGCTCCCTCATCAGGCAAGCCTTCATCACCAGGTTAACAGGTATCTAGGAAAAGAACTCATGGTGGTTACTTGTAAATTGATTTCTTTCTCCCCCTTTTGGTGCATATAGTTGATTTTCCTGGGGAGAGAGCAGTATTCTCCATAAGGGAAATTGCTTTATAATTTTAATCTAAAATGTTTCCCACATACTTCAAATATAATTTACAATTCAAGAATAAGATCATAAACAAGTGGGAAGTGATTCATACATTATCAAATAGTTACTCAAGGAGAACAGTGCCACCCACATTTCTTAATACTTAATTGGAAAAAAAAATAATAGGACAGCAGCGGTTAAACTGCAGTGCAAACAACAGTATGTTCTTAATTTAACTGCTCTGTATTTGAACAGGGTTTTTTTGCATCTCAGCACAGCTAACAGTCAATATTCCTAGTCAGCAGTAGCAAATAAGAATATTTAGCCCTCTTACAAAGGTGAAAAAGTGATTAAAGTGTAAAAATTGGTAACTCCTTTCCTCATGAGTGATTCCATTTGTTATTACTAATTTTCTGACATGTTATGATATACTCATTACTTTATCAGACTAATCAATTAGCCTTAACATTAAAGGAGAGAATTAAAAACCTGATTAAAAAAATTACCACACAAGAGTAACGTAGGATCAATGAGATATAGCTTTTTCTTATCTCTGAGCAAATGGCAGATTTTTAGTGTGTATTTTATGTAGCCAAAGGGCCTTACAGATTGATCCACATGTTAGCAATGAATGTAAGGAGATTAGTATTTCACACACAGGGTGAAGCCTGAAAGTTAATTTCACTTACATAGGCAACACTTATCATGCAATCACAGGTTCTGCACAAAACTGAAACACCAAGCCAAAAATTTCTTTAAGGGGAAGGTACTATTTAACAGTGGAACATTTTCGTGGGAACTTAAAATGAAAAGTGTAGTTTTCAGACTTTTGCTTTGAATGTCTGATGATTTCTTTTAATTTCAAACTCAAAAAAAGTTAAAGACCTATGATTTGTCAGCCTTTCTACTCTGACAAACTCACTAATACTTTCTTCTTTCCTAGTTTGCAATGAATCCATTTTATGAACCCAATTCTCCTATTCGATCCAGTGCATTTGACAGAAAAGTCCAGTTTCTTGGGAAGAAACACCTTTTAAGCTGAATGCAGAAAAATTCGGAAATAAACAATGTTACCACAGTGGGGTATACTCAGGAATGTGTACGTCGTAAGTTACTTGATTAAATAGCCTGGAAAAGTTTTACTTGTAGTCTCAATTTATCTAAACCTAATGAAATTACTTCTATAGTTAGAAATAGCACATTCAGTTTCTTAGAATTATCAATAGATCAATATTTGCTTAGGAATAGTTGTAAGTGCTTTATTGATAACCTTGAAATAAATACCTTTATTTTCAAAATTGAGAATAAGCTTTTGACTTTCCTCGTTCAGATAGCTTGATCTTGATGTAACAGTCCAAAACCAAATGTCCTTGTCAGGATTTAGAAGACAGATTTAAAACTAAAGCGTCTGCAGTGGGGAGCGAAGTTGATAGCAGGTACCTGGGCTTACCTATACATCTAGAGATGTTATAAAAATGTGTAAGGCACGAGGCATAGCGTGACCCAAGAAGCTGAGGCAAACAGCTTCTGCAGTGCCCAATGCCACATGCCTGCCCATCCGAGGCTGGGGACAGTGATCTGGCTGTCATTCTGGAATCCGGGATCCATGTCTGTAAAAATGAGAGATTGGGCCCAAAGTGCCAGGCTGTGTTAGCTCCATTCCCTTAGACTGTATACTAATCAGAGGTGTCCAAACCTGCAGCCTGTGGGTGGCTCAGGATGGCTATGAACGTGGCCTACCATAAAATCCTAAGTTTACTTAAAACATTTTGAGTTTTGTGTGTGTGTGTGGTGATGTGTCACAATGTATTTAATGCATGGCCCAAGACCACTCTTCTTCCAGTGTGGCCCAGAGATGCCAAAAGGTTGGACACCCCTGGAAATGAACCTGTTGATATCTGTGCTAGTAAAAAGTGGTAAGACAATTTTAGAATTGTAAACAAAGAAAGGCTTGTAGTATATTAACATTTGTCCTCCTAGCTGTACACCAGAGGGGGCAGGAGTGGTCTCGCACTGTGACTTGTACTTGGAAGCGTGGGATCTTACTGTAAACGAGTAAATGTCAATCGAAAAGCAAGTAATATAATCACGTATTTTTTGTGCTAATCATTAGCCCTTGAGGAATTGTGTTCCATTCTGAATAACTTGCACAAGTAATTCTAAGTTTGGTCTTGTATCTTTGTGTGAAGTTACTACCATAATTTTCCCCCCATCTATTTATTTGACTTAAATAAAGATGTTTCTCCAAGACTGTGGAAGTTTAACATCGAATTTTTAAGTGCTGCTCACGCTGCCTCCACTACTGTTTTCCCTATTTTCCCTATCCAAAGTCTGCAGACTAATATATATCTTAACCCATTTCTACAGAACTCGTGAGAGGCAACGACACATAGATGTTTCTCTCCCTCTCTTTCTCCCTCCCTTCTCCTCTCTAAAAATAAATAAATCAGTCTTTAAAAATGTTAAAATGTTTTGCTTATAGCAAGATTAGTTACAGTAGGAAGTCATACTTTCAAAAGCATAGTTTACTATAATTGTACTCTTTCTCACTGGTTCCCAACAAGTGGAACCAGGGAAGGAATACATCTATTTAGTTTTTCATTTTAAGATAAAAATATTTTATTTATTTATTTTTAGAGAGGGGAAGGGAGGGAGAAAGGGAAACATCCACGTGTGGTTGCCTCTTGTGTGCCCCCGACTGGGGACCTGGCCCACAATCCAGGCATGTGCCCTGACAGGGAATCGAACCAGCGACCCTTTGGATCGCAGGCCAGCACTCAATCCACTGAGCCACACTAGCCAGGGCTATTCAACTTTCCAAACAGTAGCCCCCCAGCATGTCCTTCGATAACCTACCACTCCACAGCCAGGGTCCCGTCTTCACTGACCCACGGTCTAGGTGTTGGGTTGCCTCTGGAGGATGGAATCGGCATGAATATGCAGCACGTGAGCTTTACCCACAAAAGACCACAGTCTGATTCATCAGTAAGTCTGGTCATTGCAGCAAGATGAAAAATCTCGAGAGCAAATCACTAAAGAATGTTCAGCAAAAGAGAAGATACTAAATAAATACAAGACCAAATAAAAATGTCTTCTGTTACCTTCACACAAACCACAATCCTTCCCACTCCCTCTAGGAATGATAGAGGTGGCTTCTGGGGTTGGGGGAGGGGGCGTGGTGAACGTGCAGCGCACAGGTGACAGGCGATTCTTTGTGTGATCAGTTCTGATAATGTAGAACAAAAATGTGAACACGATTTTGAAGTGAATGAAGTAATCACATAACTGCAGAGTAAATGCATTCAATTTTAATCTTTAATATCTAACTTTATTGCTTTAGGAAATTTTTCCCCTGAACCAGGAATAGAATGCTAATTACATAAAAATATACATATATAAAAAGTAGTTCTCCATCTTCCCAGGAAAAGAGCAATAATTTCTAGAATATTCAAGTGTTTTGTTTTAATCATAATTAAAGTCTTGGTCATCTATTAGCTCTGAACTTACATATTTAAATTAAATGTTATTAGACAACCGCTACAATTGATAAATGTAAGATGCTATTACTGAGTAAATAGGTTCTTCAGTGAGTGGATGTGTCCCTTCTCCCACCCGTGTATGAAGCAGCAATATGATTAGTTTTAATTTTAGGAGTAGATGCTCCACTGCTGCGAACGCGAATTCTCCTCTCCCTTGTGTTTATCTGTGTGCATGTGTGTCAGCTGGTTAGAGTGAGGGACAGCCTCTCTAACGATCAACAGCAAGAGGAGCTAGGCTTGGGCTTCCGGTGCAGACTGACAGTGTCGGTCTGAATCAGGTGGTCTGACCTATCCTCCACGGCAAGCACTCTTCGAACTGCTTCCTCAAAGGCCGCTGCGACATTCGTGGCATCTTTTGCACTTGTTTCAAAGTAAGGGCAGTCGCCGTTGTCCCTGCACCAGGCTTGGGCTTCTTCTGCAGACACTTGCCGGTCGCTTATGTCAACCTTGTTACCCAAAATCACAAAAGGAAAGTTTTCGGGCTCTTTTACATCTGCATAGTATATGAATTCTTTCTTCCAGTTATTCAAGTTCTGGAAGCTTTGAGAATCGTCGACACTGAACGTGAGCAGGCAGCAGTCAGAACCTCTGTAAAAGGGTGTCCTGAGGCTTCTGAATCTCTCTTGACCAGCCGTGTCCCAAATCTGCATGGTAACAAAATGTCCATCTACCTCCAGCTCTTTATTTAAAAATTCCACACCTATTGTATGGAAGAGCTGGGTGTCAAACTTATTAGTCACGTATCTGTTCATGAGAGAACTCTTTCCGACTCCACCATCTCCAAGGAGAATTACTTTAAAAAGTGATGATTTTCCTGCCATTATTAATCTCAAGATCGTTGACTTCAGAACCCTGTAAAATAAAAGGCACCATTACATTCCTTTAGACCTGTACTCTGCTCTACGGGATTCTCTGAATATGGGCATTTAAGGGAAGTAGACACAGAGCCTCGATTCCTTTCTGCACAGAGAACACCTAACAGTGAGAGCTGTCATTCAGGGAGCGCGCCGCCGTGCCTGGGCCCACCATCGCTCCCCGTGGCAGCTGGTGAGGGCTCACTCTTCCCCTCCTCTGGCTCTCAGCTCACCAAAGCTCACGCTCAAGGCCAAGTCTGGCCCCAAGCACCTTGCTCTCACTCATTTCTCTCTACTCGCAAAAAGCCCTGCCACCATTTATTAGAGACGCAGTAGGAGACTGAAGTAGGCAAGTCTCTGACAACTTCAAACAGCCCTTTGGTGACACAGTGACAGTGTTCACCGATGGCTTTCCCCTCCTGCCAGGGGTTTTCTCAAGGACACCCACTTCTCTTCCAATGCTATCACCATAGGAGCTGGTAACCAGGAGACCAGAGACAGAAGCTGACTGATTTGGCAGTGAACAAAGATAAGCCAAACACTGAGTAAATGAACTCTATTCCCTTCATTAGGAACACTACTGAGTTGGCCAAAATTAATGTCATTAGCAGTGGGATTTTTCTATTTTATTTTTTAACTTTTATTTGATTTTAGAGAGAGAAAGGGAGGGCAGGAGGGAAAGAGAGAAGGGGGGAGGAAGGGAGGGGAAGAAATAGAGGGAAAGAAACATCAGTTTGCTGTTGTATTCATTTATGCACTCACTGGATGATTCTTGCATGCACCCTGACAAGAGATCAAACCCACAACCTGGTGTAGCAGGATGGTGTTCTAACCAACTGAGCTACGGGGCCAGAGCATGGAATTTTTAATATAATATTGTAATATAGCACATTCTACACACAAGACTCATTTGGACAGTTCCAACTTAACTAGTGCGAGCCTGTGCCGTTACTTGAGTTTCGAGGGGGAATCAAGCACACCTTCAATAAAACACGGTGCTGTGCATACCCCTTGGGTGGAAACCCTGGGGCAGGATTAAAAACTTTCCTGCTCCCAGCCTGTCCAGGAGGGATTTCAGATGCACATTTATAGACAGGTGCATCTAAGTGCTGTTCCTGTTTAAGCTTCTAGTTCTTTATTATGGAATATTTCAAACATATACAAAATTCCTGAATAATGATAACAACATAATGATACCCCATGGACCTAAACCTAGCTGCACAGATTATCAACTTACAGCAAATCCTATTTCCTCCATAACTCCCAATTCGCCCTTCTCCCCAGTTATTCTGAATCAAAGTATATCACTTAATCTGTAAGTATTTCAGGATTAAGTGGCTTTTTGCATATTAAGGGTTGTAAGAGAACACAGCCTTTCCAGTAGCACTAACAAAACTTGCTGCAGTGGTGGCAACGTCCTCAACCTGCAGTGTCCATCTGACGTCGCAGCCACCAGCCACCAGCCACATGGGGCTACAGAGGCCTTGGCATAGAGCTGCAGGGAGTGAGGAGCTGAATTCTAAATTGTATTTCATTTGAACTAATTTGAATAGCCATATTTAGACAGCCAATAGCTATATTTGACAGCACAGCTCTAGAACAAAAATGGTAATTACCTTGAGCATGAGAGTAGATATTATGAACCCCTCATTGGAAAGGTGATAAAGACATAAACAATAGTTGTGATGTTACTAAGGTGAATTTGCAGAATCAGTACAGTAAACATTATCTGGCTATCTCCTAGTTGTATGCAAATGTGACCCAATGTAATGTAACTGAATACTTCCTTAACGTGCAAGAATTCTGTATTTCCAAATACATGCTATATACTATTCTGGTAAAACCTGTAGCAACTTGTCCCTGACTCTTACTGGCTCTTTTCAATTACTACTATAGTAATTACTGCTAATAATAAATACAATTTAAATTGGCCAACAAAAGAACGAGGCAATCAAGGTGCATACCTTTTGGAGACTTCTGACTGCCAATGGATCACTCAGCCCAATGCCCAGGCTAAATTAATGTTAAAGAGGATACTGAAACAATCTCAAGCCTCTTAATTTTCCAACTTCTATAACAATGTACTAAACAGGTTCCTTTGTTTAATTCTTTGCAATCTTGCTTAAACAACTTCAACTAACAGAAAAAGGAGAAACAATACTGAAAAAGCACACAGGCTATACAGACTTAGGGAAAGTAGCTGTTGAATGCCGCCTCCTTAACATTCTTCCGTAGTTCCCACAGATGCAAGTCTAAGTCCAACTTCTGAGGCAAGACACTTGGCCCTGCTCTCCATCCTGGCTTCAGTCACTCGGAAAAGCACAGTCAGATGGAGCTGAAATTCAACTCCACTTGCTCACCGCGCACACTTTCCCTTGCCTTCGCCCTGGCACATACTGTTCCCTCTGCTAGTGATCCCATCCCGCTCCACCTAACTCACCATTAACTAACCACTGGGCCCTCAGAACTGCTCTGCATGGTCGCCACCAACACTGGAAACCTTCCCCTGCAGCCTCCGGCCCAAGGGCTTTCCTTCCACACAATGTTTGCAATAGGTGAACATGAAAGGTCCGGGTTGTGTCCTGAGGGTGTAGCAGATGTGCATAATTCTACTCTATCATGTACCCCAGTATTTTAATAGGCCCGTAACTGCCTTACCAGACACAAAGTTTTGTTGTACAGCACTGAACTGTTAAGAATCTCTACATCAAATAATAAACCAGATTATGCAATCTAACAACCTCCACCCAGATGATCAGCTGCATACCTCTACCAAATGAAGTCTTAGAAATTTCTTGGGATTTGTCATTTATAACTTCATCAGGACACATTGATAGTTATTTTCTTTTTTCATAATGTGGGATTTCCTTGTCTGTGACATTGTTCTGAACAAACAAATCTGTGCAATGCTAGACTCACATACCAAGAATTAGGGTAAAATGTTTACATTTCCCCATCTATAATTCAGGGCCTCCCAGATAGACTATTTGGGAGTATGCTGGCATTGGCTAAAACAACAAATGCACACATACCTCTCTGATTCTAACTATAGAGCTGTATAGAAACATACATACAGGCGATACAGGTAATTATATAAATCATCTCATTTCCCAACGACATCCAACAAAAAGTAGCTTCATGCATTCTATATATGAACATAACCATAATCAGCTTATAGACATTTAAAATGTTTCTTTTTTCTTTTGTAAAAACAATAAAATCCTCTGAAACTCCTTCAGTATAAGCTGAATGAATAAAAATATCCTGCTATGTTATTTTCTGAACTTACCTTACAATGTAATGTCAAGTCTTTTATACTCCACAGTTTGGAATGACTGCCCAAATGCAACAATCTTCACCAAGGTTAAAATACAATTCTAGCAATTCAACTAAATTCTATAAAAAAAACTCTGAATAAGAAAAGCATACTACATAGGTCATAAAGCTGACCTTAATTGTTCAGTTCAAGCATCATCATCTGCAAAGAAAAAATTAGAAAGCTCAGCTCAGCAAAGTACATTCAATCTGTTTTCATAATTTTAAGGGTAAATACAAGAATTAAAATGTGAAAGATCTGACTTCCACTAGCAGCTAAATTCTTTTTTGTTAAGATTTATTTATTTTTAGAGAAAGGGAAAGGGAAGGAGAAAGAGAGGGGAAGAAACACTGATGTGAGAGAGAGACACTGATCGTTTGCCTCTCGCATGTGCCTCGACTGGGGACTGAACCCACAACCCAGGCATGTGCCTTGACTGAGAATTGAACCAGTGGCCTTTCACTCTGCAGAATGATGCCCAACCAACTGAGCCACACTAGTCAGGGCTAAATTCTTAATTTAAAGGGAAAATTACACCTGAAAGCTGCCCATGACCTTTCTCAGCCTAAAAAAGTCCTGGACTCAAACACTACACTTTAATCATTGTTTTTTTCTAGAAGTCTTTCACCTGCCCACTCTTCTTTTCCAAGATTCACTCAGGTGGCTATAAAATTTTAAGATGAAATGTAAAATATTTCATTCACTCTTCAACATTTGCCCAAATTTTTAGTGGCTTAGAACAATCATCTTTCAGAGAATAAAATAAAGCTAACACAAAGAAGGAAAAAAGAAGGGCCACGTGGGGGAAGGGCACCCACTGGCCACAGGAAAAGTTGGGCTAACGCAGCAGAGACTGGCATAAAGCTTCTTTCTGCGCAGCCAAGGACAAGGTGAAAACTTTCTGGTGAACCAAATAAAAGCCAACTATCAGAAAGGAGAACCGGCTCCTGGTGTCGAAGGCCAAGAATGCTGACCCACGGGCCAACTACTTGACATTCTGAAGCTCACTGGACAATGATGACAACAGTACCTACCTCTCGGACTCTCAGGAAGATTCACTCAAGACGCAGACAGCAGGGAGAGAGAGATTCACCACTGTGCCAGGCTCATCATAAGAGTGCAGGAAGTTTCTGTGGAAGGAGCATATGAAGAAGTCTTTACTGGCAGTATTACAGAAAGGTTTCTTCTACGGCCATTTCTTCAGCCAAATTTCAGTGAGAGTCACGGGTGGAACAAATGAGAGGCTTATGCAGGCAGGCAATGGGGAAGCCAAGAGATCCTACCCTAGAGATCACATTCAATGGGAAGGTTTCCCCGTGACCAATGCGGAGCTGTGCAGCTGAAGTACCAGCCTCTCTCTGTCTAACCCTATGGTTTCAAGCCCCCTGCCCCTCTTAAAGAAAAGGGCATTTTTGTGGGACTTACATATTGCAGTGCTTAACTTATCAATTTAATCAATGAAAAAAGGAGACTCCAAAACCTTGACATTTTGGAGTTAAGGATAAAATAGTAATAATACAGGCACACCTCAGACATATTGAGGGTTTAGTTCCAGACCATCGCAATAAAGTGAATGTCATAACAGACCAAGTCACATGAATTTTGGGGGTTTCCCAGTGCATACAAGTTATGTTTACATTACACTCTAGTATATTAAGTGTGCAATAGCATTATGTCTAAAAGAGCCAATGTACAGACCTTAATTTAAAAAATACTTTATTGCTAAAAAATGCTAACAATTTTCTGAGCCTTCAGCGAGTCATAATCTTTTTAATTGTTGCCACAAACCTTCAATTTGTAAAAAAAAAAAACTGCACTATCTTCAACATGCAATAAAGCAAAGCGCAATAAAATGAGGTGTGCCTGTAGTAACAGCAACGCCCACACTGACTGAGCCCTAAAAGCCAACTCTCGGCTTCACGGCATTTGCTCCTCACAAGTCTCTATGCCTATAATGCAGATAAGGTTGTATTTCAGAGAAGTTACACACCTTGCTCAAGGTTGCACAGCTGGTAAAAGGTGGAAGTGAGACAGTGCGGCAGACTACTGTAAACCCCAGCACTTAACCCCCGAGGCTCAGGTGCCTTTGCATTTATTTCTGAGAGTTTTCCTGTTGCTGTCATGAGTATAATGAAAATGAGCAGTTGCAATGGTAAGTCTTTCAACTGTTCGCTTTATTTCAAGATCTGCACAAAACCAAGTTAACCCAACAGAACGAGCAGTAGTCAATCTGTTCACATGTAGTATAAAGCACATCTGAGTGCACCTAAGTTTTACTAGAGTTTCAATAGCTTGAACATGTTTTAAATGAAACATCAAGCTAATGTTTGTAGAACTCGAAAGCACCACCCCAGAAGCCTAGCATTCAGCGGAGCAGTGGGAAAGCAGTTGTTCAACAAGCACTCAGTGCTTACTGTGTGCCAGATGCCAAGGACGCAAGCCATACACAGTCTCAGTGCCTCCTGTGTGCCAGGGGCTGAGGATGCAAGCCACAGCCAGTCTCAGGGAGGTGACAATCCACACACAAAGCCATGGCATTACACCTGTGATGAGTCCTACAAATAAGAGTCTGTGCTGGGTATAAAATACAACTATTCTCATTCAGCCAAAAACCAAAGAACTACCTCGACAGTATAGGGGATTCTACCCAGCATCTCCCTTGGTGAGAGATGCAGCGTGTAAACCTGCCCCCGTCCGAGCATTTCAGGAGTACCCGGGGCCCGTGTGTGATTCCACCCATCGGAGGGGTCCGTTTCCTGTACCACGATTCTGTGACATAGCCCGCTACTTCACCTGCCCCTTGGTCAAAGCGTGAGCGGTAACTTCCAACACCAGAGGAAAACTGGCCATGTTCCATGGCGTTAGTGAGAGACTGTACACCAGTTCCCGGGGGGCTGTCCCAAAGCAACGTCCCAATGATCACTTCAGCCGCATGCTGTCCTTAGAACACAGCCTCACCAAGGTCTGCTTCCCTATAGGTGGATCTGACCCAGGGAGAGTGGGCTGGACCACAAGCGAAGCTCAGTGGGAGAAGAAAACTGTGGGAAGAGGGGAGGGAGCCAGGACCAGGAAGACAGACCAGCCCAGGCCAAGGTCCTGCCAAGGCAGCCTGGCATGTACCGGGAGAGTCCGGGGTAGGCCCTAGCACCTGGAGTCTGAGAGAGAGGAAAGCACCTGGAGTCTGAGAAAGCTCTATGTGGCTGGGACTGAAGGGAGGCCTGGCCCAGGCAGGGCCTTAGCAGCCAAGGGAAGATTTCTGGAAATGACCTAAATGTCTATATGGAGGCATGGGACTACCGAAATATACTGGTGAGTGATAAACCCAAGTAGCAGGTACACTGTGATCACAACATGCAAAAGCTGACAGATTTATATTAAAGTCCTCAAGAAAATCTAGAATAACCCAAACCAAGTCCAGTTTTCAAAGTTCTGATTTGGTGGCAAAGTCGTACTTTTTTTAAAAATATCAAAAGGAATCAAAATCTTCATTATCAGTTAAAGTCTAGCTTGACTGAATGCTGCAATTAAATGAAAGATGATTGATTTATTTTTTTTAGAGAGAGGGAAAGGGAGGTAGAATGAGAAGGAGAGAAACACTGACATGTGTGAGAAACATCAATCAGTTGCCTCTCCCACGCCCCCAACCCAGGCATGTGCCCTGACTGGAAATTGAACTGGTGACCTTTCAGTCAACAGCATGATCCCCAACCCACTGAGCCACACCAATCAGGGCAAAATCATATTTAAAATTGTCTTTAAATACTCCTAGGCACCAGACCTCAAGGACAATTGCTTCCTAAATTTTTCTACAACCCTGATTATATAAAAAATAACTCAGTATGACACTAAAAATAGAAGCAACAAAACAAAAAAATAAATTAATTAAACTTCATCAAAATTAAAACTTTTTGTGCTTAAAAGGACACTACCAAGAAAGTGAAAAGACAACATACAGAATGGGAGAAAATATTTGGAAACCAAATATCTGATAAGGGACTTGTATCCAGAATACAGAGAGAACTCTTACAACTAATCAATAAGATAAATAAATAACCTGCCCTGGCTGGTGTGGCTCAGTGGATTGAACATCAACCTGTGAACTAGAACATCTAGTGTGAACTAGAAGGTTACCAGTTCAATTCCCAGTCAGGGCACGTGCCTGGGTTGTGGGCCAGGTCCCCATTTGGCAGTGTGTGAGAGGCAACCAGTTGATGTTTCCCCAACACATCGATGTTT